TCTTCTCTCTAGAACAATATATAGTTGACTTGAATTTTCGGAGTCGGGTCGTTGACTTGATCTTCTCAGGATTTGATTTTGGATTTGAATAACGTTTTTCCAATGGTCTTGCGACTTGAATCTCGGATCGAACGTTGAACTTCGACTAAATTTGACTTGAAGATCTTGAAATTCTTGATGGATTTGGCTTTTCAATCTTCCAATGATCTTAACTTGAATTGATTAACGTTAATTCGAAGGTTTGGCACCGTTATCTCGGATCGAACGCTGGATTTGATGAAGAATGCCTTGAATTTGCTCAAGAACACCTCGAATTTGACGAAGAACACTTTGAATGTAGAGAGAGAATCTTACCTCCTACGAATTCTTCTTCCTTGCTTCTTGAATTGTAGAGAGAATTTTGTTCCTACAGTTTATGCTCCTTCAGTTGTGTCTTTGAATTGTGAAGAGAGGGTCCCTATTTATAGTGGTAGAACAAGAGTCCTTGATGGGCCTTCTTGATGACGTGGCGCGATTTGATTGGGCTGATTTAAATTGATATTTATCTCTTGTAACTTGAAAGAGAAGAAACAATTCTATTGACCAATAATTAATTGATATTTATCTCTTTATAACTTGGGGGAGAAGAAATAATCCTATTGGTATATATATATATATATATATATATATATATATATATATATATACATGACTTTATATGCATAATTACATATTTGCGACTTGATTAAAACAAATTACTCGGCTCTATTGAAATTAGCAATTTAATTGCTTGAAATTTTGTTCGTCTACAAGTGCTTCATCAACTTCATTCGCTGATTTTTTTGTATCATCCTAAACGAGCACCTTCTGTTTAGGAGAATCAAATTTTGGAGAGGTTGCGTATTTCGATTAATAAGGTTATGGTCAAAAGGGGTTTAATTTATGGACGGTGTTGGTTGTAATACCTACACGCAAGTGCATGTATCGTACAAGTTATAAAGTGGATTTTTAAGTCCAAGTATCGTTCCCACAGAGAATATTTAATTATCTAATCCTAGAAGCTAAATTCTACCAATTATTATCAAGTCCATCCTACACAGTCAACTTTAGAGAAAATTAACTAAATTAAATTAAAATAATTAAGCAAATAAAAAAGGCAAAAACAAAAAGGAACTTAAACACGAAGATTAATCAAAGTAGACAAGTCTAGGATTTTATTCTCCCCCCTATGTGATTATTACTCCCCCAATTCATTCAATTATGCAAGCAATTAACCCGGATTATTAACCTGAGATGCTAAATTAATCATAACCCGCTTCCGCGTGTATTACAATTATAATACTCTAGATTCAATTACTGTATTCCTACGCAATTAATTCTAGAACACATCATTAAGCACAAATCTCAATAATGGCTACCTAAGAGATTAACTATATTCTTATGTTAATACCACAAAGGCCTTCTACCACAGTTCTAATTATTAACCCGATCATCCGATTCATACAATTAACAATAACATAAAAGCACATAAAGTGGCCACTTTCATGAACTTAATAAAACAAGTAGAAGAAATAATCCGGAATTAAAACTTGCATAAAATCATAGAATTGGGTTCATAAATCCCACATAGGGTTCCAAATAAAATCCTAGAAATAAGAAATTTAGCTACTCATGATTAAAGTAAAAACGCAAATAAAATTAATCATAAACGATAAGTCTATGCTTGGAGTCTTCGAATTCTTCGTCTTCGTTATTGCTTTGTTGCTCTTGAAATTGTGTAAAAGATGGATCCCCAATTGTGTACTTGGCTTGGTCTTATATAGGGTGAAAAACTTGGGGAAGAAGGCAGTTTCCTTGTGCAATTAAAATCCATTTACTGCGATGCCTCGTGATCTCGGACGGCCGTCCCACATTTTGAACTATATGGCTAGAAGGGTTACAAAATCGATGCAAGGTTTAGCGACTGTACGACATATTTATCGGAAGCAAAATCGAGTTGCGGACAACTTGGGAAATGAAGAAAATTTGGAAGTTAATTTCTCGTTCTTTTCGGTGACTAGTTTAAGTCGTAATATTCGTAAATTATTATTCGTGGATAGAGTAGGATTTTCACACTTTCGTAGATTGAACAATGTAAAGTAAGAGGAAGTACTCTTTTTTTGTTAGGCCGCACAAAGTTTTAACGAGACCCTCGTTATCAATAAAATTTTATTTTGGCCCAAAAAAGAAATTTAACTAACCGAAGAGAAAATCATTTCATTTGGCACCCTAGTGAACACTATATTAAGTGAATATTGTAAATATTAATATTAAATGGGATATTTCACAAACAGCTTAACTTTTTGGTTGAGATGGTCATACTTGTTTCCTATAGAGCCAGACCAATGAAAAGATTATGAGTTCGAATCCCACACTCAAATTAGGGGTATATTTATTTAAAAAAAAACAAAAAAAAAAAAGAAAAAAAAAGAAAGTAAGTTTAGTAAATGTGGAAATGAGGCCGTTTATTATAATGGATTTGAAGTCTATTGCAAATAGCTAGCTGTACAGATCTCCCAATTAAAAATGTAATTAGACGACGACTCTGAAGAAAGAGAGCATTTTCCAATGCGACGACCCTATAAAGATTTTTGCCAGATTTTAGCATATTCTCTCATGCATGTGTTGACTTCGTACGCGCAGATTAAACAATGGATACATCATAATACATGAACTGATACCCACCACTTGTTTATATTTGACTAAATCAACTCTTTCATTTTTTATTTATCAACGTAACTCTCCTAATTATTTTTTCTTTCATATAATATATATGTATTGCATTATGTTCAACAAGTTGCATGCACATTCTCATCTCCATTCACTCATCTCTCTTCTTACTTAGCTTCTTCGAAATAGGAGAGTGGTTTCAGTTAAATCCTCTCTCTCTCTCTCTCTCTCTCTCTCTCTCTCTCTCTCTCTCTCTCTCTCTCTCTCTCTCTCTCTCTCTCTCTCTCTCTCTCTCTCTCTCTCTCGTCCAAACAAAGTAATTAATGATGACGTGTTTTAAGAAATCAGTATTTGGGAGTTGTGTGATGCTAATAGCGTTTACGTGTTGGATTAATGCGAAGAGCATCGAAGCATTTGGGACGTTCGGATTCGACATCCACCACAGATATTCCGACACCGTTAAGGAATTCTTGAATCTAGATGGGTTGCCGGAGAAGGGTACGGTTGACTACTACACCGCCATGGCCCACCGTGACCAGCTCCTCAAGGGCCGCCGCCTCGCCACCTCCACCACCCCTACCGTCACTTTCTATGGTGGCAACCAGACTTACAACGTCAGGGCCCTTTCATAGTATGTTTCTTTCCCCCCCTTTTTTTTTTTTTTTTTTTTTTTTTTGACGAGAAAATAAATATGACACAAAGTTGTGCTTATTTACAGCTTGCATTATTCGCTTATTACTGTGGGTACCCCTGCTTTGCTCTTTCTTGTGGCACTCGACACGGGCGGTGACCTATTCTGGTTGCCATGTGATTGTATCACTTGTGCACGTAACTTCAACATTAGTGACGGAAAGGTAAGTTCAATTTGTCGTTATTTAATGTTTGGTCAATGGTCAAACCATAATAACATGTGCCTACGTGGTTTCTGTGATTTTTAAAAATATATATAAAATTTCACATTTAATTTACTAGAGTTGACAATTTTGAGATGTCATGTCATACTAAAAAAAATAAATATGGAATAAAATTCATTAAATAATTAAAAAAAAAAAAACTGTGCTCACTATTCATGAAAATCAAATAAAATTTGAGAAATAATATTGTTGGTCCCTTAAGTATACTCAATTCCGCAGTTAATCATTTTTTGTTAAAAGAAAAACAGATTTAATCCCTCATGTTTCAAATATGTAACAACTTTGGTCTTTTTTATGCATTTTCCGTAAGTACCAAAGGAAATCAAGCATGTGGCCATCACCAGTGGCGAGGCCAGAAATATTTGGTGGGGTGAGGGGGGGGGGGGGGGGGGGGGGGCTTAAACATATTGGGGGTTCCGGGGCAGAGCTCCCGAAAAATTTTTTGCTATCAAAGAAATTTAAGATGAAAATTTAATATTATTTTTTTTTCCTCCATTTTTAGAAGATAATACCAAAGCGAATAGGGAAAGTTAAATTGCTATAAAAATCTAAGAAACATGAATATCAAGTCAATTATAATATTTACACAATGGACTTTTAATTAATATTCATTATTAAGATGAAAGAAAAGACGTCAAACGTTAATTGATCGTCGGTGTGAGTTCGATCGGTGGATAGCAATTTAACCGCCATAAGTACGACTATACAATAGAACAAAGTTATTTTTTTTTTCTTTCTCAAAGAACGAGAACGAAGTGAGAAATAGAAGATAAGACAAGTCAGACATGAAGGGGCTTTGAGAAGTGATGGGCTTTGAATAAGTGGGAATAAGTGGAGTAAAAATAAATGAATAAAATAATGTAATTGGGTAGACTAAAAAAAAAGTAATATATAACTATATATTAGGGAAAAAATTTAAAGTGGGGGGGCTTGAGTCCACCCTAGCCCTTGGGTGGACTCGCCCCTGGCCATCACTATCTTAACTGACAAATTAATGGAAAATTGACTGAGATGATTAAAAGTGTTAAATTTTTAAACATGAGCGACTAAATTTATTTCTTTTGAACAAGAGGGACCAAATACAAAATTAAGATAAATTTGGAGGAATAAAAGTATAATTTTCCAAATAAAAACAATATGAAAAGCTTAATAAAAAGATCGAAATCTAAACGACGTATTTAAACTAATTATTATTATACACGAATTCATACTAATTACTTGATATTTCCTTATTATAAATAATTATTCTAAATACTTGATTGTGTTTTCTGCCTACTTCCAAAATATATACAAATATTACTTTCATAGTTTCATTCATAAGTTATTCCTCCAAAACATCTTACCCAAAATAAAATGAAAATAAGCCCTGTCATTTTTGGTTGCCCTAATTTCTATCTCCAACTGTTCTAATTACTTGATGCAACAGAAATTGGAGCTAAATATATACAGTCCTCGTAATTCGACAACTAGCTCGCCGCTTCCGTGCAATAGCACACTGTGTGGACCTACAAGAGCATGCTTGACTAGGTCTAATACTTGTGCTTACCAAGAATTATACGGCGCATCCTCGAGTACAGGAATATTAGTCGATGATGTTTTGCATTTGGGTACAAATACCAATCCACAAGACATCGTTGATGTCTCGGTTACATTCGGGTGTGTAACCTTTTTTTTTTTTTTTTAAATTCGATAATTTAATATTCCGCTAAATAAATAGAATTTTGTTAGTCCCAACTGTATTAATTTATAAAAGGTTTAACTGTATCCTGTGTTTCAGATGTGGAATGAACCAAACGGGTTATTTCTTGGAAAGTGGTGGCGGTATTAATGGCATATTCGGACTTGGTATGGGCGGTATATCCGTGCCTAGCATTTTAGCTAGCAAAAGTGTTACAGCGAATTCTTTCTCCATGTGTTTCGCAGCTGAAGGATCTTCCGGTAGAATTGAATTTGGAGATAAAGGGAGTGCAGACCAAAAAACAACTCCATTTAATCTTCAGAAATCAAAGTAATAATAAGCAAGATTAATTAATTAACTCATTCCTTTGCTTTAATCTTCCCTATGTTTTATTTTTTCCATCTTTCTCGCATGCAGCCCGACTTATAATATCACCGTCACACAAGTTGTTGTGGGTAATAATGTGACCGATCTTGAGTTCACTGCAGTTTTCGACTCCGGTTCCGCGTTTACACGCTTGAACGAGCCGGCTTACTCTTTTATTGCAAACAAATTTGAGTTGTACACATAATGTTTATTTTATTGCCCATGCATGGGCTCTGAACTCTGATATGATTGCATTGTACTTTCTCCGTTTGCAGTTCATTTCGCAAATAACCGAGACACCTTATAAATTCCCATACGAGGTTATTTTCGAGTATTGCTATTCACTCAGGTGCGTTTTGATTTCTCAGGGTTTATTGCATTCAACACCCATGCGTCTACTCTAATTGTTAACAAAAATCATCGTGTTATTAATATTATAATGCAATTTACACTACCACTTAGGGGGTTGTGTGCTCAAAATAAATGCATTTTTTAAGGGATATTTTAGCGATTCGATATAACAGAGGAGTACTAAATGCAATAAACTCTTAATTTCTCATTGACCTTTTCTAAAATCTGGTAAATTTTGAATCGTCATATTATTTTGGCTTCATGATTTATATTCTATGCAGTGCAACACAGGATGGCTATACAACCCCAAACTTGACCTTCACAATGAAAGGTGAAAGCCAATTTTACGTTACAACACCAACGTTTAACTTTATACGCGCGGTGAGAAATTAGTAATTACGGCATATATTTATATACGTACGAGAGATTTCCATCTGAAAAAACAAGGGTTCAAATTAAGATTTGTATTTATACACTGCAGGACGGTGGTCAGGGGTACTGTTTGGCTATTGTTAAGAGCGAGGGTATTAACATCATCGGACGTGAGTATTCTGACCATGTTTCAATAAGTTTGCTCGATCCGCAAACTTTCGAATGTTGAGTTTTGAGTGTCGGATTAGTATTCAATCAATTTTGCTCGTCTTGAATAATCTTACCTTCGAGTGTAATCACTACGGTTGTTGAATTCTCGTACTCCATGTGATTATTTATCCAATATTAACATTTTTTTTCTTCATGAATTTCTTGGTTTCTTGACAGAAAATTTTATGACGGGGTACCGCCTAGTCTTTGACCGTGATGAGATGGTTTTGGGTTGGAAAGAATCTGACTGTGAGTTGGTTTCTTCCGTACTTAATGCTTTTCATCATTCTTTGCTAGTGTAGTATGCGCGTGCGCGCGCGCGCACTCACACACACACACATATATAACTATATATTAATCTCAGGCTATGATTCCATCTCAACGGAAAGTCCACCAAAGAGAAACCCCACCGGTTCTCCTCCACCACCCACTCGTTCACGTCTACCACAACTACCACCACCGCCACCTGCAACAACAACAATAATAGGAACACCAACAAGTGATGTTAGTTCGATGACTAGTGGACTTGTGGTGGTGATACTTGCCGTTTTTTTCCACAGCTTCATCGTTCTTTAATTTATTTATATTTCATGAGGATTTTATCAAGTAGTATGCCTTGCAACACTGTAATAAGTTGGGCCGTCGTAGTAGCTTGTATGTTGCTACAACTTCTCAGTATTCTTTGGCTGGAAATAAATTATAGTAACTATTTGTCATTTGTCTTCTTTGTGCTGCACTTGATTTCACTTCCGAAAACTTAGGTATGGTGTTTGATTCTATATCAATTTTGACCCCAAACGACAACAATCCGTTGCCACCCAACATAGCAGCACATACTAGAGGATCCCCTCCTTGCCAAGGTGGCTCAGTGCGAGTTCTGTGGAGGCAACACGTACGTATAGGGGGAGTTAGATGTTATACCTGCTTATTTACACTGGGTGGATTCGAACCGTATATTTGATTAAATAACTATCCACTAAGCACACATACATATGGGTGTGTGCGTAATTATGTGTAGATCAACGGTTCAAATCCACTCAATGTAAATAATCAGATGTAACCTCTAATTTCCGTACATGTAGTAGATATGTGTGGAATAGGGGTTTGTTTGTTATTTTCTTTTGGGTAAAATATTTATCTTCCTAAACCTAGCAATCTACCTTATTTATTATGGTAAATGGCAAATAGGGCACAAGAGCGCTTAACTAAAAAAATGGACATCCAACTTTTTTATTTTGCAAATAAATTCACATCATTCAAAGTTATTTGTAAATAAGGAAAACCCTTTTATATATACCAAAATTACACCCAACTCCTTAATTCAACTCCAATTTCTTGATTTACACCCAATGTACCCCATTTTCATCAATTAACTAATTTTGACCCCAATTCTAACCACCACCGCTGGAGATCCCATCAGTCAGTCGCCATTGAATTTTTTAAAACTTTTTTTTCCTTAAAAAAATTATTTTAATTAATATTACTGTCTTGACCTGCAATATTACTATCTCCGACAGTAATTTAACTATCGGAGACAGTAATTTAACTGTCTGAGACAGTAATTTTACTGTATTAATTAATTTTATCATCTTATCCTGCAATTTTGCTGTCTTCGACCTTAATATTACTGTCTCCGACCGTAATATTATTGTCTCATGCAGTAATATTAATGTTTGGGACAATAATATTGGTAATATTGTTGTTCGGGAAAGTAATATTTGTACAATTATTGTTCGGGACAATAGTATTAGTATTCTGGGCAGTAATATTACTATTTGGGACAGTAATGTTACTGTTTTGACATTCAATATTTCTATCTCAGACAATAATTTTATTGTTAACATAGTAATTTAAAGAGAAAAAAATATTTTTTTAAAGGTCAATGCAGAGACCGGCGATCAACAGTGGTTGACCGGCCGGAAAAAAAATTCAGCAAAAAAAAGCTTTCAGAAAAATAAGTGGTTTCACTTACATTGGTTATATTTGAATTAGATGTGAATGTTGATCTCTCAAATATTGGGTCTTCAACAGTATTGTTGGGTTTTCCATGCTTCGTAGGTTTTCCATGCTTCGTAGGCTCTCCAAGCTTTGTAGATTTTCTAAACCGTAGGTTAGGTGTTCATCTTAACTGAAATTATTGGGTTTTCCAAGTTTCGTAGAATTGTAATCTAGCCTGCAAATAGCTGAAAGACGCTTACTCCAAAACGCATTAATCATTAATGACTTAGGCCACAAAAATAATTTTGCATTACTGTGTTTTTTTTTTCTTATATTCTCCATATTAGTATTTTTATAAAATACACAAAATCTTCCTCTATTTATAATTATGTCATGTTTTTTGTTGTCAGCTTAGTAGGATCACCATTGTTAATGGCAAACACGGCCGAAAAATAAGTTACTTAAACATAAACCTAGTTTTTTTTTTTGTATTTTATTTATTGGGGGTGTGTGATATTCCCGTAGGTGCAAATCATTAATCCTGTCACCTTATATTTTTGCCTTTTACGATTAGAACAAGGTGGAACATGCATTGTAAAATTTCTTCGTTGCTAATGGGTTTTCCTATTCTACGACACTTGTGAGTTGGTGCGCGGAGAAAGAAGCGGGGGCGATAGATTTTAGTGATAAACAAAGTTTCAACAAAGACGACCCAATCACGATTGACGAAGGAGTTGGATCGGGCAATGAGGCGGATGAATACGATGTCCCTTTCGAGTTTGCCTCCCTTAACGAGGCATATGCAATGGTTCCGTATGTTGGGGGCACAGAACGAGGAATATGCTATTGTGCCGTATGAAGGTGTGAATGAAGTTGAATCAGATTACTATACTGACGAGACCGAGGGGTCCTCGGGGCTTACGGATCGTTGATATCGAGCCAAGTACCTCGGTCGTTGCGTTTTGGTAAGTTAAATATTGTTTGGTTACATATTCAATAAATTTTGGTAAGTTAAATTCTTGACAGTAGAACACAAATATTTATAAAACGTAATACAGGAAAATATTTATAAACATATATAGACCGAAATACAGTAGAACATGCAAACTAATTAAACAACAATATTTATAAATATTATGGGTGAAGGTGACGAAACATGAAAAAGAAAATTACAAACCGAAATACAAAGGCGGGAAAATTTAATACTAACACTGAAAAACTAGCCGACTACATGGATGTGGGAAAATACTACGGAAAATACTAATGTTAATAATACGGAAAAATATTAGGAAAAACTAGCCGAAATCATGGAGATTGGAAAATTTGGACTCCCATTGTTCAATGAAGTCTCCTAAACGATACACGTTTCGAACGACACCAAGTAATCGTTTGCACCGTCGATTGGCCCCTTGTCATCGTTATCTTTCTTCGAGGGACGGTTTGACCCGGACGAACTCGCCCCAAACAAATTTGGATTGTTGCAGGGCCTCGACATTAATTTATCTACACGCCATAGCTATGAAAATTTTGCTGATATTTTTTTTAAGTCTCAACAAAATTAGAGGGGCGATTTTATAAACCAGAAAAATGGCTTCTGTAAGAAGGTAAAAATGGGTGGGTTCAAACTGTATTTTCCATTATTTTGGGTATATAATATAATAATAAAAAAATGAAGAAAGGGTGGTGATATAATTAACCACATTATCCGTCCCAATCAACCCAATCATTCGTGAGATTAGCACACCCGGTTTCAATCCTACAGACCCGGATCCCACCAACCAAAGCGGAGATCCCATCCAACTAACACCAATCCATACATTATCATTTGAAAATGAATCCACAATCCCATCCCTCCAACCAAAATATGCCTTATAGTAATAGAGTTTACTTGATGTTTGACAAGTTATAAATATTCTCTTATTATTCTTGATAAGTTGCCAACTGTTATATTCTTTGTGATTATTATATCCAAGTGTATATTATATGGGACTATTAGTGAGAACCCCCTCTAGCATTTTTTTAATAAAGATGAATCCAGCCCTATTTCCTTTATTAGTGATAGGTCCAATTTTTTTTAATTCTCAAATTTACCCTTATTTCCTATTCACTCTCCACTACTTTAATATTTATTTCACTTTTTTTTTTCTTTTAATTATAATATTCGTTTATTTATTTTAAAAATTTTAAAAAATATTTTTTTTTTCATTTTAGTATTTATTTTCCAGTTTTTTGTTTTCACATCGATTATAAAATTCCAAAAACAGCTATAAAATTTTTAAAATCAACTATTTCTGAAATCAACTATTTCCAAAATCGACTATTTCCGAAATCAACTATTTTCGAAATTGACTATTTCCATAATCAACTATAAATTACTGAAAACAACTATTTTTTTTTTCGTTTATTTCTCGAACAAACAATCACAAAAAATAGTTATTTTTAATAGCAGGTTTACTAAAATTATATCAACTACAAATTAACGAAAATCAACCATAACCAATTGAAATCAACTAAAAATTTATCAAATGAACTTTAAAATTATCTAAACCAACTATAAAAATCGAAAACAACTATAATTTATCTAAATCAACTATAAAATAAAAAATCTCAATTTAAGAGATTAAAAAACTATAGTTCAATTCACATGTTGGATATTACAGTCGCATATCCATCGAGAGAAAGGGCTATATCTCCACCGACCATGTGTTGAATCCGAAGGCTGTGAGGGTGATTTGTTCCATCGTCACCGTCTCAACCGCCCCCCAACGTCTACATGCCAATGACTCTCAGGTGAAGAAAGGACTCAAATCCCTTTGCGTCAACCGTCAATTACCACTGTGCCATATCAGATCGCCGCTGCGGATACCTAAAATGATTTCAGAGAAAATTAGTATAAAAAATCAACTACACTCTACAATATATCGAAAATCAACTACAAACCACATTTTTATCGAAAATCATAAATACAGATCTAACCCGAATCTGAAAATTCGATCTAAAATAGGCAAAAGATAGGATGAATTAACTGCTTTGCTCCGATGAATTTTTTTTATTACCGGTTTCATCATCGGGCTGAATGAATCGGCAAGAGCCGCGACTCGAGGCAATCGGGGAGCAATTGTTGCCTATTGAATGACAAATTTTGGTATTTGGCGAGACTCAAAAAGAGTAAAGGATTAACGAGGGCACCGTTGGGCAGTGACGACGGCGGTGGATGGAGGGCAGCGACACGGCAGTGGACGGAGGGCAGCGACGACGGCGGTTGACGGAGGGTGGCAGTGGGCATACGAGATCTGGTTTGGGATTAGGGATAGAAACGAGAGAGAGAGAGGTGGAGGCTGGAAAGAAAAAAGAGATGAAGAAGAGAAATAGGGTTTGGTGATTTTATATGATAACTAAGGGTAATATAGACATAACACTTAAAATCTGAATTTATGTTAAATTAAAATATAAAATAAGGGGTTCTCACTAATATGTAAAATGAAGTTATATCCATCCTTATATAATCAAATGTATTGGGGGTTTTCACTAAT